CAGCATAGGAGGGTTAAAGTGAGTATAAACCAAATAGGTTGAACGGTCTACTTCCTAAAAGTAAATTGTGGCTTTCACATCAATTAATATACCATGCACATAAATTTGTGGAAATTTGCATTAAAAATTCCAGCCCATGTACGATGACATTTTCATTTGGTATAAATCTGGTTACCGGTGTTCACTTTTACCTGTTATGTTAACCACAAAGCGGCAAGTTCCTTGGTTCCCTGCCTGGTCGGAGGCCTGAATGACGATGGCGTGCAGGCCCTCGGGGAGAGTGACGCCCGGCTGCCGTGACGACGTGATGTTGAGTTGGTTGCCAGCGTTGTCCATGACGACAGGCTGGGTCCACCTGACAATGGCCTCTGCCTTTCCCCGGGGGGCCAACAGACTGAAATCTTGCGGGCAGGTGCCATTGAAATGCGGGGCCGCAATATCTGAAACAAAAGAGAACCAACAAAGTGATTTGTATACAATAAATGACTCTGATCTGAAAAGGCGCACCGAGGGAAGATCTGGGGAAGGGGTCCGACAGGGCCATCCGCCCAAGGAGCTGAAAAGGTTATGAAAAGTAATGAAAAAGGCTAACATTTTGGTCCATTTCATTTCTCTTCCTCCAAAATGTGCGTAGAATATCCTAAAATGGAACCTCACCCTTCAGACAGGTTGCATGAAAAAATTTACATTTTTGGCCCCCCCTCCTTCCCGCCTTAAAAAATTTTGCCCCTCCCCCAAAATCTGGTGCTGGATCACCCTCTGTAATACACCCTCTCAAAATAAAGTACGTCAAAGGGGGAGTTCCGCAACAACCTCGCACCTTGGCAGAAGGGTCCGTCGTCATTGTCACTCCACTCGCCGTTTGCCAGGCACCGGTGGGTGGCGATGCCGACCAGCTGGTACCCGTCGTCACAGGAAAAGGTGCAGGTATCGCCAAAGAAGTTCTCTTGAGACTGACAGGTGATGTCGGCATGCTCTGGCGGTACTAATGGTGGGCACGTCGTTCCTAGGAGGGCCATTGAAAATTGAAGTGTAATTTTCATTTCAAGTACAAGTACACCTCTTCTGTCTCTCAATCACGCTTGCATGTATAGCTTACATTCAAATATTTGTTTTGCTTTTCTTTACCACGGTGCCCTTTTTGTTTCTAATGCTAATGACTGTTCCCATATTCATGGGCAAAACTCTGATGTCATCCTGGAATGACAACTTCAATGCTACGCTGATTTGTGCATAAAATATAATGCTCAAATTCCTCCCTCACGGCAGTGTGGGAAGAGGCTGCTAACGCGTTCCTACCCTCGCAGTCACTAAATATGCAAATTCCTTTGCGCTCGATTCTATTCACTAAAAACTTGAGAAACTGTAGTGCGGCCTCTAGGCCCATGATGCATAGCAGCACTGCCGCCGTGTTCGTTCTTCTTTTTCGAAGTGTGAGGCCCGAGCCAGTGTGGGGAGGACGGGAGGGCTGTGACTGTTTGGGTAGGTATTCCTTAATAGCAGACTCTTACCACACTGCTGAGGGAAAGGAATCCACTGCACTCAACCAACCTAAACAGTCACTAAGTACGCTGTGTGGCACCGTACCCCGGAGGAAGTTAGGCGAGGACACACTGCAAGTATTTGTGCCTGTGTGGATTGATGAGGGCTTACCAGAGAGAGGACGAGACCATTTGGATACGGTGTAGAGCCGAAGATAGCTCACGAAGTATGGGTCCTCGTATTCTCGGTGAAGAGGTGAATGTAGACACGCCAGGAAAGAACTCGTTGCAAAACTTTATTCAGAGGAGCAAGAGGATTAAAAGGGCCATAGAGTTTCTGGCATTTGTCATGCGGATACTTTGCTAAAGGATGTTGGCAAAGTATGCCACCCTAGCGGCATACATCGCGATAGGGTGGCTGCGATTAAAGTCTGTGAAGGTTAGCCATGTGGGATATAGGTGAACCAAATGGCTGAGGAAACCCGACGAGCCAGAGGTGAAGTGTTTCAGGGTAATGGCAGGAGGAGAATCATAGTACCTCTCAGCTTTGAGTCCTGAACAGAAATCATTACGAGGATTTATAGGGACAGGACAGCAAGGTTTGTAATTAGGATAGCAGGAGTACTCTATGACATTAAAGATGAAGTTGTCAGATAGGTGAGAATGAATGGGCTTTGACCAGAGGTCTATGGCGTGGATGAGAAGGACGCTGTGGTATTACTATTCAGAGGAGCCATGTATAAATGGATACCATCGGCAGACCACAATCCAGGAACGAAGTAGCTACTGGAAGTAGAAAGGCTGGCCTCACCGATATTTGTAGCAATGAGGCCTCTCCGAAGGGTTCTCGAGGACACGCCACGGGTCCCGACCGGGTATGAATTGGTAGGAACAAACACTGAGTGAATGCGCCAGGAAGAGGGTACCGGTTATCAGTGTTGTGTTGTCTGGAGGAAGCACTTCAGAAAGCTGTGACTGCAGGCAGTAGCTACGTGTTATTGCCGACTGCAATTCTGAGTTTCGAAGGAGTGAAGAATCAGCCGCTGCGTTCATCGGTGTCTTGATTGGGAGCGCACTCTGTTCATTTCACCATGAAGAGAGAACTGATTACTACTGTTGTAGGTGTATGCCGGAGGCCTGGATAAATGCGGCACCAGGGTTGAAAGGTCTGAATGGCATGAAAGAAGATATTTTCCATGTCCAATTCTGGCTGAATTGTCGGGATCTGAGGTAACAGGGAGGGGTGCACGGACGAGCAACCCTACCCTGCTGAAAAGAAAAAGGGGTCACATGACCTGAAAGAGCGGGAAACTGGTGCAGAACATCAGCAACTAAATGTTCTGTCGAGGCAAAGAGGTCAGTATTTAGCTTGTCAAATACATCTGAAGACTGACTATTAAAGTCATGTTGCAGGGCAGAGTCTGCTCTACTGGGTGAAATCTTTCTCTGACAGCAGACGCTTGTAAAGGGAGTGTTGGCTTCGGGATTCGGGTTGTCTTCGGGTTAATACCAAAGGCCAATGCTCCCAGGAATATCTGACTTGTCTGGAGAGCTAAAGTGTAGTGGAGTACGTAGGCCATGCAGAAGAAACTGTGGAAACTGCTTGTGTTATAGGCTGAGAAATAATACTGAGGAGCCCCTTGGGAAAGCCCGGCATTGCTAGATGAAAGGAGAGTGCAGAATCCACGACAGTGTGAAGTTCAGTGAATTCAGATGTCCAGGGCGTGGATACTGATTCAAATGGCGTAATCACCAAGGCAGGGCCAGCAATGGAGGGGAGCCTGCCCGCAGATCGCTGTTGACTGTTTCACGCCTGGATGCCCCCGATGATGAAGTCTCAGAAGTCAGAGGGCTGGGAGTTGGGCGTGGAAATGTTCACGCTGCCCAGACCCAGCTGGCGGGGGAAAAATTTCGCCACGAGTGCAGGGCCATTCTGCACTACTCTTGTCTGTGAGAGATGAGGGAACTGAGCGTTCGGATACAGCCTGCTCTATAGCTCAGACCCTGAAGTGGGGTGTGGCTAACCCTGGATTAGACAGGGAATGGTTCAGCCAGCAGGTGTTAGAGTGGAATCTTAAGTATATTGTGCAATGCCATCTGATCATCTGCAGACCGACTCCTGTCGGTTTATAGGGGGGAGCGGGGCTGCTGAACAAATACTGCACTACCTTGCAAGCCCCAACAGTCCCAGGGTCGCCCCGTTGACCCTATATATCTACTAGGGAGGTGGGAGACCGCAGAACGAATTACTGCACTAGCTTGCAGAACCCCCACGATCCCGGGTCGCCCCGTTGACCCTATGTAGAATACTCAGTGTTAGAGCAGCGTAGAGTCAATGTAGAGCCCATGAAAATGCACACACAGACAGAGAAAATGCCACAAAACAAAAACTACACACACTCTATCATGAAATATACATCAAGATAAGGAATATACATTTACTACAGTATGTTACGGTTGATCAATTAACTCAGGAAAGTGGAGCAAAACGGAAAACTTTAGAATTCGGAGATGCCAAAATTGACACCTCTGTTAAGAATCACGCTAAGGAAAACGAGGACAAACATGGCGGCTGTGCCACTATGCATCATGGGCCTAGAGGGCACACTACGGTTGATCAAGTTCTTGGCGAATCGGATTGAATGCTAAGAAATTTGCATATTTAGAGACTGTTTGGGTAGGTTGAGTGCAGTGGACTCTTCCGTTTTTGCTTGTCTAAATCTCCCTTTTTGGGGGGGTAATTCATTGTTGTTTGTTAACGTGCACAGCGATAAACCAGGGAGCAAATCCCTTTTTTTATCAGAAATGTTTTCAATGAGCAAACTTTGGTTTCCACCCAGAATATTCCTCAGGGGTTTTCCTCCCACCTCTGAAATTGTGACTGCTTCTCACTGTCTACTCGCTACAGGTTTCTTCAGGCCTACCGGCTACACAGTAGTGCCTTTGGGAAATCATTGGTTTCGTTACCAGAAACACCCAACAAGACAGTGAAATCTTGACAAGTCGAACCTCAAGGAAACAGGCCCAAAAAGTTAAGTTCAGGTATTAAAGTTTTGAGTTTCATAAGTAGAGTTGTATATCACTGTTATACTACTGAGCCAATGGATTCAAAATGGGCCTAACTTTTCAAGGAGGAAGTCTTTGAAGTTGACACTTTCAGTATATCCAAGTTGGACTTGGCCAGATTTCACTGTAACAGCAGTAAATAAGATTCCTGATGAAGTAAATGTCTAGTCACTGTACGGTCAATATCAGAGAACCAAATGTACACGTAGCCCGTCACGACAAAATGAGAATAAGTTGCATCCTTCTCTTTTCTATTTTGAGGGTTCAAAGTCATATTGAAATGGAGGTCAATTTGGGGGTTTTGTAATATTTGGAAAGAGCAACCCGTCTCCTATTTAATTCCAAATAGGTTGCGGGATCATATATTTAAAAATGTCATTTTCTCAGCAATTTTGATGATAACATTATTCCTGTCTGGTCTGAGATAATTGAAGTGTCGGGAACAAAGACGCAAAGCTGCCAAAATAATGTCACATTGTCACCTTATACTTCTACCCTAAGTGTTCCATGTACATGCCATTGGAAAGCTCTTTTTCTGCTGAATGCAAAAGTACCAATATCTCAATTTTTGAAAATTCCAACTTTCAGCCCATTTTGTGGTGACAAGTCACAAATGTTTGATAAACAAAGGCAATCTTTATAGTTGAGGCTCTTACGTTGACACTGCAGGTCACTACCCGACCACTGAGCACTGTCCATGCATATCCGCTGCTCCGACCCACGGATGCGCTCGTAGCCCACTTCGCAGGAGAATCTGCATTGGACCATGAAGTGATACGGCGGGGTACATTCTCTGAGGACGTTGGGCAGGGTGTCCGGCTCATCACATTCAATCACTGAGTCAGGCGAAAGATAGGGAACAAGTTTGAGGGAAGAAATCAGAATTAGAAGGGCGGATTTGCCGCTGACAAGCCAGGCAGCGCAGGGGCCTTTGGGCCGATAATCTTCATTGGTTAATAAGCCCTGAACTGCCTAAAATAGGAGGTGATTACTACTCAGACGAGTCAGGGTACAAGACGGCTGGTTTTGGTAGCTGATTTTAACTGTTCAAGTCTTCTTCCACTCTGCCATGAAAAAGTATACCGCACTTTTCATTTTTTATATACAGAGATACATACAGTAAACTCCGGCTAAGCGGGCACTCTCAGGACTCAAGAAATTATGAGGACTTATGCGAATACCGACTTGTGTTGTAAGTCGTCATTTTGCCGACTTACACGTACACATGTATTGCCTATGTACCAATTGCACTAATTCAATGACTTTGATTTACCCTGATTTATTTCTACCTTCATGGTTGATCCCAGCAAATTCGTTCTCGATTATTATCCTTACGGGCTGCAAATTCGATAATTGATCATGTGCCCCCAAGGACGAAGCAAGGACGGCAAGCCACTCGCATATTACATCACGACTCGACAGTGCAGTACGTACATGTACATGATATAGTTACGGTTCAGAAAACATTTACTCATCCGCACACGCATCGGTTAAGTTTGTTCAATAAGGCGACCCCCAAAATGGACGGAGTGCATGCATGTAGCACTAGAAGGGTTACCGGTATTGATGTACTCATGCTGGCTGATTATCAACCACGGCCTGTGCTGCTAATAAACAGACATCAGTCAAGCAGTGTGGGGCTTGTCACTTGACACTTCTTGGCAACCACGGTGAAGGAAACTGATACCAAGGACAATTTTTTTTAATGCCAACTTAACAAAGGAATTTTTGTGAAAAAGGGACCAAGAAAAACATGCCGACTAATATACGAAATGACAACTTATAAATGCCAACTTAGAAATGAAATTTTCAATGGAAATGCATTACAGACGATCGGGACTTTTGTCAAAAGGCCGACTTAGATGGTATGACGAGTTGCGCGATGCCGACTTAGTCGGAGTTCACTGTATAAACAAATAGACCCAAGACAAAATATGAAGTATGTAGAGGAACAAAGGAACATACAAACTAATGGGCAAATGCGAGCTTCTAAATATGTCCGTCGGCAACAGAGCATTGGGCTTTTCTGCCTCCTGAAACAATGCTAAACATGAGCTTTGCCTTAATGTTTGCAATACAAAACGTTTTGAACTAATCGGACATTTTTTCTTTAGGAGATATATATAGTGTTTCAAGAGGTGTAAAACTCAGGCCGCGTCCGAAACGGGATTCAGGCCGCCTCCGAAACAGGATTCCAGAGCTACGGCTAGGTCTATTGTCTGCGCGTCTCCACGCATTTCCGATGGAGTGAAGACCTAGACCTAGCTCTAGGCAAGAGATTCGGATGCAGCCTCAGTCAGCTCAATCTGCCCTGAGCTGACGTGCAACCCCAATCAGTGAAAGACAGATGGTTACAACCAGGTTCTTGAACGCATTCTACGTGTACGCAAAGACCATACATTCCAGAATAAATTTGTTGCGCGTACTCAGCGTGCTCCGCCTCAAATGCGCATATACTTGCGCACCTATGCGGTGAGTTGGTACCAAAAGGACCATCCGTTTCATTTACAAACACCCCCTCTTTCGTTCCGCTTGGAGCGGATTATGGTGCCAAAGTTACGCTGTTGAAAAACGTGCACAAATCGATGGTGAAAAATTAAATATTCAAAATTCCATGATGAATCGCATGATAACGTCATCACAACGTCATTATCTGCAAAAGACCTTTGCTTTATGTTCCCTGACTGAGTAAAGTTTCAATGTTATACGACTTTGTTTAATGCCCAAACTGCCCATGAGAAAAACCGCATTGAAAGTCTATGGGATTTGAAATAGAAGACCAAGGAAAAGAAAAAATAAAATAGGAAAAACACTGCCTTTTCTGCACTTTGGATAAAAGCCAACAAACAAGCAATGAATACAGGAACAAAAGAACAAAACAGTGATCCAATGGGACTCAAGGACAGAAGGAACCCAAGGAATGAACAAAGATATGAACTGAAACAACCATGGACAAATGGAAGGAATAACCAACAAGGAACAAACGAATATTAAACAAGGGACTTAAGAGAGAAAAAGAAATGTAAATAATGGAGATACCGATGGACAAGGATGGGAGTAAATGAAGATAGTTGAAGCGACAGGAAATAAAGAACAACAGAGGAAAGAACAATAAACAAACGAACTGATGGACATTTATGACAAATGAACCCACAGACAATCAGACAAAAGCATGAAAAGACATGAAAGTATTTTTACAAAATAAATGGAGGGAGATGAACTAGGGCCATGCCAATTACTCAAACATTTTGAAATTCAATCAATTAAATATCAGAATATTTATAATCAGAATAAAACATGAAAATCAGGGTCATTCCATGAAGTTGGGACACAATTTGTGACGGTGTCCATTGTTACATGGGTTCCGTAAAAATGAACAGCTATTTCCCTGCAGGTGGATTTCAGATTATACATCTTGCAAGGCTGAATACAGAGATGTGTTATTTTTACAGAGTAAATGATCTATTGAACAGGTCAAAACAGGTGGTAAAAGTTACCGATGTAAAAAGGACACCGTCACAAATTGTGCCCCAACTTCATGGAATGACCCATCTATGAAATAAAAAAGGGAAAAAATTCAAGTTAGTTTCTACTGCTGGAGGATCTGGTACAACCAGGTATGTGCATATTCAACTGAATGGCAGGTGGAAATACTCAAACAATCAACTATCCAAACTGACTCAACCTCAGGATGAACTGATGAACCTATGGACAGACGAACTGACAGACTGACCAAGGAACAGACCGACACTACTCACACCGACAGCTGGCCGGGTCGCCTGTCCACACCATACTGCCGTCGTCCTCTCGCAAGCAAACTCGCTGACGGGAGCCGTGCAAGGCGAAACCCTCGTTGCACTGGGTGACGCAGACGGAGCCCAGGTGATGGGTGCAGCTCTCAAAGTAGCCGTTGATTGGGTGTCCCAGATAGGCACACCTCAGGACTGGCACATTGAAATAAGGCCAAAAAACCCATAAATGGCAGTCTGATTATGACTGGGAACCAGTCTGGCTTTGGCATAAAAAAAAGCCAAGCTACCCTCGGGCAAAGTGAGGGGCCCTTAGCCCGTTTGAATCCTTTGCTTTGAACAGGCACTCCACTACCAGCCTCTGCTCTGTCCTGGGCCACTGTTCCCACCGACTTGATTGGACTTATTCCCTCTGGGCTTAAAAGGGAACCTGAGGAATGCAGACAGATGTCACCCACGACTGTAAAAAGCAAATGCTTTGATGTCATCTGTGTTGCGGGTGCAGGAAATCTCTGAATGTTTTCGTCTAGCGCACGGGGTCGAAAAAAGACAGGTGCACTAAGGACTAAGCTACTTCATCACGGTCCCAATGGTGGCTAAACAAATGCAAACCAATGGGCGGGGGCAATGTATGCAATCATATGCAGGCAATACGGGTGATTACAATAGTGCGCCAACAAGAGCTTAGAACACGTTTGGCCAATCATAACGCGTGAAAGTTGTCGACCCTTTCCAAACGCGCGTTGGGTCGACAAATTTCGTACATTGTGATTGGCCAACGTGTTGCAAACTCTTGGTGGCACACTACTGCTTTCCACTGAATTATTTCCCCAGGGTTTTACCTGTGACCTCGATCATGAAGGTGCAGATGGCGGCATTGCCGGCCCCGTCACTGGCGTGGTACGTGACCGAGTGCCGGCCTTCGGTCAGCAGCAGGGGCTGGCGGACATTGGTGCTGAGCGTGGGCGCCTGGCCCGAGTTGTCCCGGGGCTGCGGCTCGGGCCAGGTGGCGTTGACCGCCTCATAGCCGGACGGAGCGGTCAGGTTGAAGCTGGCAGGGCAGGAGGTGCCGAAGTCGGGCGGAGAAACGTCTGCAAAGTGGAGACGGTGTGAAAGTCAATTTATAGGATCCCATAGAACCCACTCCCAACCCAGCGATAACATACTCATGCTTAGGGTACCTTGATTATAATCATTTCTACTTAAAATAAACTTTCTCAACATTCTCACTGGGTCAAGGGGTTGAGTGACACACAAACCAAGCAATTCATGCATGAAGTGAACCGGTCAAACATTAACTAGCACTTGTCAAAAGATTTAAGTAAATGTCTTTTCAAAAGGGTACCAGTTGCTGTAGGGCGTAAAACAAATGTAATTGGTCAAAGCAGGATCAAAAAGTTTCAAAATCCTGACTGTGATTGGCCAATATAAAGCTAAACTGATACTCATGATTACAGTCCAAGAAAGAGACTGATTTTCACGGAATGGATACACGACCATTTCTTTATCTGGTACACTTCATTTTTGCAAATAAATTTATTCTCAACCTTCAAGGCAGCCTAGTTCAATGCACAAACTTGCCCATAGTCTCCGATCTGAGTCAAAGGACTCACCAACGCAGCTGGACTGTCGGTTGGCATCCGTCCACTCCCCGTTGGCCTGGCACGTGTGGGACGCGACGCCGTTCAAGAGGTAGCCTTGGCGACAGAGGACGTGGCAGGTGGTGTTGTAGGGGGAGGCAAGTTCAGGGCATGTCCCTGGCATGAAGATGGCACCGGGGAGGGTCTGGAGTGCTGGGCAGGTGACAGCTAAGGGACAGAGATCCAACGTCATATCAGATACCCAAAATTCGTGACAGACGTCCCCAACATTTGACTTTGTTTAATGACGTTATTTCAACCTCTTCTCTCAGTTTTGTTTCTTAAGCATTTCATTCACCCCTGTTTTTATTCATCGATATTTTTTAGGGGGAGGGAAGTTTACCCCTCCCCCCACTTGCCACGACCATGGGGGCTACGCCAGAATGGGAAACAGGCACTCTGTCCCGACACAACCCTTAACTAGAACGGCAAAGCCGCCATGGCTCGCTGCTTGATATGAATTTGAGATGGATAGGATGGATATCCACTAAGAGACATCCAAGTTGAACAAATATGGTTGCTAAATTAAACGAGAAAATACTATCCATTTCCTACTCTGCCCCCTCCCCATCATCCTATCCATCTCCTACTCTTCCCCCTCCCCATCATCCTATCCATCTCCTACTCT